CCCCCGCAACCCAAACAGCCCAGACACACGCTGCACCCAGGCCCCCCACCCCAACACAGCCCCCCGGAGCCAGCCCAGCGAACTATCAAGTGACCTAGGTGCTCCAAGCCAGAGCAAAACACAGAGCTAAAGACAGAGCTACATGCCCACCCTGGCCAAGTACAAGAGACTCTGCCCCAGCCCACCGGGGCACTGCCCTCAGCCCCCGCAGAAACCCCCAGGAGAAGCCCAACCCCACCGGAATACAGGTGCATCCCCACAGTCAGTCGCCCCCTCCCTGCCCAGGGGACAGCTCCCTCCGAAGGCTCCTGTGCCAGGTGGGCACCCAGCTGCTGCGGGGCTGGGGCAGCCTAGCCGTACAGACGTGGTGGCACCGAGCTCCCGGTGGAAGAGGAGATGGCTGCCCCACGTGAGCGAGGCGCAGGGCAGCAGATGGCTCGGGAGAGGGGCAGGTCCCCCGGAGGGAGCGAGCCCCGTTTGGGACCCGATCGGACCTGGGACCCTCGCGAGCAGGCAGGGCAGAGCTGAGCAGAGACAGGAGCGTGCAGCAGCCCAGGTGCCCGGGGCCTGGTGAGTCACAGGCAGACGCAGGGCATCAGCTGTGACATCCTCAGCAGTGAGTCAGCGGCCTCCCGAGGCAGGAGAATCCGCCCATGGCAGCCCAGCGCAGGAGGGGGCTACAGGGCTGACCGTGCTCTGCACAGCCACCTGCCTCCACCCCAGGGCGGGGATTCACCGCCCCCCACCGCAGCATCTCCGACAGGGGAGCAACACGGGGCTCCGGGAGCAGCACTCGGGCCTGTCCTGCCCCAGGGACGCTGGCTCCAGCCTCCCACCGCAGCCCCGGGGCCTGTGCCAGCCCAAAGACAGAGCGAGGGTGCCAGGCTGCACCTTCGACAGGGAGAGGCTGGCATGACCCGGAAGATGCCCCTTTTCTAGTCACCTCACAGCTAGCCGGGGAGGAGCTGGCAGCCCTGCCCCCCCACCCCCACGCTGGCTTGTCCCAGCGCACAGGGCCTGTGGGCAGCTCCCACGGGCGATCGATGGCAGAGGCGAGTCCTTGAAGCTGTCCAGACGCCCACCTCTCTCACACGGCCAGCCCGGGACAGCCACCAGCCCAGCCGGGGCTTTGGAAGGGGGTCGGGCTGAAGGCCACAGGCCTGCACCCACAGCCTGCTCACGCCCTCCGTGCAGGGGCTCAGGGTCAGCCGGGAGTAACGGAGCCCCACTGCCCTTCGGTGTCACTAGGACAGCACGCTCCCGACCTCCATAAGGTCCCGGGTGCCCTGCTCGGAGACGAGGTGCCCCCAGTCTAGTGAGGCCACCGCATCCTCTGGGCTCCCCGGCCCCTCATTCCCCCACACACCCCAGGGCATCACCAGGGGAGCAGAACTGACTACAGGACATGAGAGCAATTTCAGCCGCCAGTCACACCCCCAGCCCAGCCCCACACCAACGGTGGGGCCCACAGCACCTTCTGTGCCAGGCTCCGACGGGCCCATGATCATTCCCATGGGAGCCAACACGGCTTGGTCCCTCCCTGTCCTGAGGGGAGGAGGAATGGCCCCAGAAGACGCTGCAGGGGCAGAGCCAGGCATGCGGTGGGCACCCTGGTTACACAGCCTGGGTACGCCAAGCCCCCTGCCTACTCAGGCCGACTCGAGCCTGCTGGGCGTCATGTCCACAATATTTGGATTTTAGAGGCTTCAAGGTCCCGGAGGAGGAAGATAAAGTGCAGGGCAGCTTTGGAGCTGGCCCCCTGCACCCTGGGTCTGCCCAAGCACTCCCTCCCTCTACACCCCCCCTCCAATGCCCCAAAGCCTCATCCCCCCTTCCCGAGGGCTCTAAGGAACCCTGGGGTGCTGGGCAGAGACCACCCTTTACCCAGGGGCATGTGCCAAATATGCCCTTAAGACAGGACGCACCGTCACTCCTCTCGCTGCCCAGCTCTGCCCCCAGAGAGCAGGGCAGGTGGGGGGCGTCAGGGCCAACCAGACATGGAACATTTCACCATCAGGGCCCCAGCCGCCACTGGACTCTCTCTGCCCTCACCAGAGGCTGGAGCCTTCCCAAGCGCAGCACGGGTCCCCGCACAGCCTGGCCTCCAGCCGCACCCCTGCGCCGAGGGACTGCCGTGAGCAACGCCCGCGCCTCCAGCAAACCCACTGCATCCAGCTCAGAGCTGCCCTGGCTGCAAAGCGCTCTAGATCCCAGCTCCGGCCAGCCCTCCTCTCCAGCTCCTCTGTCCCCCATCTCTGCCACCTCCTCTCTAGCAGCATCCCCATTGTTCTCTGCTCCCCTCAAACAGCCTCCCCCTGGCTCAGGGCTGAGGCACCCCCGGTCAGGAGCAGCCAGAGCCCAGCAGGGCTGCAGGTGGCTCCACACAGGGGCGCTGAGTCCCGGGGTCCCAGACGCGCCACCTGCCCGAGCTCCCAGCACAGGTCTAGATGCACTCAGGGCACTGGCTCCTACCCCATTTCACAGGCGCTCCCTGGGCAGCAGGCAGCCCTCAGGGGAGAGCGGCAGGCCTGGGGGAGCCCCCTGGCACCTACTGGCCAGTGTGTTACGGGAAGGAGCAGAGCTGGGCGGTGCAGGAACAAACCCCGCTGGGGCACAAGGAGAGCCCCACGCGAGACCCAGCCCAGACAGGGGCCTGGCGGGGACAGCCCAGCCCTGCGGGGAGACAGAGACGCACCGAGCATCTCCAGCTCTATCCCTAGCATCGTGGAGGGGACTCCGGATTGGGCCCTTTGAGCAGCAGGCCTGGCAAACACAGGAAGCCCAGCTCAGTCCCACTACTGCGGGGAACCCAAATATCGGCAGGCCTGGCACCCCCTAGCCCGGCTCTCACCATTGGGGCACAAGAGCCCCAGGTTGGGGGGTGGAGAGGAGAGGCTGTTTGGGGAGGGGGCGTCTGGCACATCCCCCGAGAGCAGCGTCACCGGCACCTGCCACGAAACCCCTTGGGCTCCAGGGACCTCGCCCGGCGAGGGAAGGCACCAGCCTGCGTATCTCTGTGTGCAGGCGCCCAGCTGGACCCCGCAGCTGATGCCACAAAGGGGAAGAAGCCTTGGGCAAGGCGATGGGGCCCTGGACAGGAGAGGCGCGCTGGAAACCGAAGGGCAGGGGGTCGGCAGCCCGGCTGGAAAAGGAAGCAGCTGGGATGGCGTCAGCAAAGAAGGGGAGGCATTCCCCCAGCGCTGGCAGGCAGGGACCGAGCAACGTCTGCAGCTGAGCAGAGGAGGAATAATGCCTGAGACAGAAGATCAGAGCATCCTAAGGAGCAGGGCGAGCGATGAGCTAAGGGGGTCCACAGGGCTGGGCTTGCAAGCTCCATGACGTGCCTCGTGACAGGCAGCCACGCAAAGGGATGACATCATTGTCCTGCCGGGAGCAGGGGGGTCCAGCTAGTTACCTGGAATTGGGGGGGGAGGGCAGGTTCATCCCACCCCCAGAGTCTGGGCTCTGCTTGTGCTCCTAGCTGCATTCCTTGGGGGGTTGTTTGCAAAGACTCAGGCTGGATCTGGCCCCCCAACCCTCATCCCTGTCAGCGCTGCCCATGCTCCCAGCCCTCACGGGAGCAGGATTAGGGTTTCCAGGTGCAGCCCATGGGGTCACTCCTGCTTGGGCAGCCAGCGACTTCCCAGGGCTCTGCCCAGCCTGGGATGGAAACCAGAGTGTGGAATGAGCCGGGGTGCAGAGCCCAGGGGCCTGGGAGGGAAATCACCACCGAACTGACTCTGCTCCCCGAGAGGAAGCTAACAGCAGTGCAGGGAGCCTGGGGGGCACAGCCCTGGGACTCCCAACACATCACAGAGGGGATCCCACTTTCTCCCCCACCACATGCACACAGTGACCCCCCCAAAAGCCACAATGGAGCGTCGCAGCCCAGGTGTGCAGGGCAAGTGCATAGGCGACAGCCGGCCCCCCCAATCCATGCACTGCTGGGGGCCCAGTCCACAGGCCGGGGGGAGAGAGACGACCTCTCTCTCTCTCCCCCCCCGCCTCGATAGTTGGGGTCCGAGCAGCAGCACCCTGTGCATGGGGGTCCGGCAGAGAGAAGACGCTGGGTGCCCAGAGAGCAACCACACCCGACCCTCACACAGCCCCCATTGGCTGTAACCCACCTCCCCCCAGTCCCCGCCGGACCCCCCCGTCCCGGCTTCCCAGCCAACGCTGCCCCGATAGCCCTCCCCCAGCCCAGGTCTCACCGTGGGTCCTGGCCGGGCCAGTCCCCCCAGCTCAGCTCAGCTCTCCCCAGCCCACCCCCGCCAGTCTGGCTCCCCGGTGCCAGGCCCGACCCCCAGCCCAGCCCCTCCCCATGGGTCCCGGTCTCCCCGGCACCCCCAGCCCAAACCCCCCCCATGGGTCCCAGGGCCCCCCAGCCCAACCCAGTCCCCCCCAGCGCAGCCCCCCCATGGGTCCCGGCGCCCCCGGCGCCCCCCAGCCCAACCCAGTCCCCCCCAGCGCAGCCCCCCCATGGGTCCCGGTCCCCCCGGCGCCCCCCAGCCCAACCCAGTCCCCCCCAGCGCAGCCCCCCCATGGGTCCCGGCGCCCCCCAGCCCACCCCGGCCCCCTCCATGGGTCCCGGCGCCCCCAGCCCACCCCGGCCCCCCCATGGGTCCCGGCGCCCCCCAGCCCACCCCGGCCCCCCCGGCGCCCCCCGGCTCAGCCCAGCCCAGCCCCCCCCATGGGTCCCGGCGCCCCCCAGCACCCCCGGCGCCCCCCAGCCCAGCCCCCCCATGGGTCCCGGCGCCCCCCAGCACCCCCCGGCGCCCCCAGCCCAGCCCCCCCATGGGTCCCGGGGCCCCCCAGCCCAACCCAGTCCCCCCAGGGCAGCCCCCCCATGGGTCCCGGCGCCCCCAGCCCAACCCAGTCCCCCCAGCGCAGCCCCCCCATGGGTCCCGGCGCCCCCGGCTCAGCCCAGCCCAGCCCCCCCCATGGGTCCCGGCGCCCCAGCCCGGCTCAGCCCCCCCCATAGGTCCCGGCCCGGCCCTCACCGTGGGGCCCGGCGCCCCCGGCCCGCAGCAGGCGGCCGGCCACGAGCAGGAGGCAGAGAAGCGCCCGCAGCAGCCGCCGCCCCATCGTGGCCGCTCCGCGCCGCACCATGCCGGGCCCGCAGCGCCCCCCGCCGGCCACGCCCCGCCCCAGCGCCGGCCCCGCCCCCGCCCGAGGGGCCAATCACAGCCCGGCGCCCGGACACGCCCCCTCGGGAACCACCATTCGTCGCCTGCCGCTCGGACACGCCCCCAAGCGGGGAGCCAATCGCAACCCGCGTCCCGGACACGCCCCTCTGGCTCAAGTTAATTGTGCAGGGGCCCGCCCCTTGCGAATAGCCCCGCCCCTTTTGGGATACACCAATCACGGTGCTCGCTAGAGACCCGCCCTTCGACACAGGGACCAACCGCCTCTCGCGAGCGGGGTTAACCCCTGGGGCTGCCCCAATCGCACTTGGCCATAGGACACGCCCCTCTCCGAGGAGCCACGCCCACTGCCGATGACATCAACCACAGCCCAGGCGGAGGGCGCAAGAGACACGCCCCCTGCGTAACAGACCAATCACAGCCCAGCCCTGGGACACGCCCTCACACCAGGTGGGCCAATGGGATGGTTGGGGTCTGCACTCCCAGGAGTGGGACCAGGGGGCTTCCCAAGCCTGCTTGCCCCTGTCTGGGGGGGGCAGGAAACCATGGGGTGGGGCAGCCAGTGGGGCAGGGCGAGGCAAGGGGGCAGGATGGGCAATGGGGCAGGACAGGATATGGGGCAGGGCATTGAGGCAGGGATGACAATGGGGCAGGCGGGAGAATGGGCACGACGGGATATGGGGCAGGGCAATGGGGCAGGACGGGGCAAAGCTGACAATGGGGCAGGACAGGGTATGGGGCACGGCAGGGCATTGAGGCAGGGATGACAATGGGGCAGGCAGGAGAATGGGGAAGGTGGGAGAATGGGCACGACGGGATATGGGGTAGGGCAGGGCAATGGGGCAGGACAGGATATGCGGCAGGGCAAGGCACGGGGGCAGGACAGGGTATGGGGCACGGCAGGGCATTGAGGCAGGGATGACAATGGGGCAGGCGGGAGAATGGGGAAGGTGGGAGAATGGGCACGACGGGGCAAAGCTGACAATGGGGCAGGACAGGATATGCGGCAGGGCAGGGTAAGGCAGTGGGGCAGGATGGGCAATGGGGCAGGACAGGGCAAAGCTGACAATGGGGCAGGACAGGATATGGGGCAGGGCAGGGCAACAGGGCAGGACGGGCAATGCGGGAATCAGACAATAATTATTGGATGTTGCGAGTGGCAGCTCACTCCCACGCCCGTTGTGGGCATCCCGTGGCTCTGTCGGAGGGGACCAGCCTCCGCTGACACTGGGGTCCGTTCTCCGGCAGAGTTTCTCCCCCAGGGCCCAGCTGGGCCTGCCAGGGACGCGCGCTGGCGATGTGTTTTTGTGGGTGTGCGCGTATCCGCTGAAATCGGCCTTCGACCTTTCCCGCTGACTCTCTAATCCTGCCGAGCCGGCCGACAGCGTCCAAGAACCCATTAGCCGCGACGGCTCCTCAGCGCCTCCCCCCTGAGCAGGTTCGGAGCCTAATGCCGCAGGCGGCATTGCCAGGCCCCTGCTAACGCGACAGCATCTCCCTGCCTGCATCGTGCGTCTCTCCGGCCTGATCCCACGTTCCCTCGCCCCGCCCAGCGACAGGCATTCTCCTGGCCCGCCGCGTTCACCACATCACCCCTCTTGTTGCCCCCTCCCCAGCTCGCTCCTCTCCATTGCATCAAACATCAGCTACTTGCCTGGCCCGTCAGAACACTGCCGCCCCCTCATCGTCTCCCATTCCCTCCCGGGCTGTTCCTGCCAGGGGTCAGCCCCCAACCCCACCAGGCCAGCCCTCCAGGCCTCACCGGCCCTGCTGTCCCTCTGCAGGTTAGCCATGGGCCCACACCAACCTTCAAGCCCTGCAAGCGGCCCCGCAGTGCTCAGCTCCTGGTCCACTGGATGCCCCTGGCTTGCACAGCCCCTGGCATGCCAGGGACGCCTCGGGCTCACTGCTCTGTTTGACACACACACACTGGCTACCCACGCACCCCAGAACCTCGACTTGCTACCGTCACGTCCTGTAGTACTGCTCAGCAGCGAGGCTCATCACAACAGCTGGGATCCCTCATCCACGAACTGCCATGCTCTCAGCTTGGCTCCTCACTGCAGGGACCGAAGTGTCTCCTTGCAGCCCCCTGAGACACCAGCCTGATTCGCTGACCTGTCGTAAACAGGCCACCCTCCCGTTGTGCGTTTCTTCCTGGCAGTTTTGTGGTCTCTTGCCAACTTCGCAATCTTGATTAGCCGGTGGTTCCCTGTGAGGATAGACTGACATTGTGAGACACACAGGACCCACCAGGGAGAGGAGTGTCTCCTACCCCTTTGAACGATGCTGCCTCTGGCAGGACACAACTGAGAGTGTCAATTCAGGACAAATTGCTTCGAGCAGGGCAGTTACCGCCCAAGGCTGGGGTTTCTATGCACACCCAGGCAAACCAAAAAAGCCAGCCAGAGAGGACTTCGGTCTCGCCCCACTGGCTAACCACAAGTCACACAAGCAATTCCCTTAGACACCCCAGTTTCCCAGTATCCCCACCAGCGCCACTCGGTATGGGGACAGATGGTTGTGAAAACCAATACCCCAGTAAAAGAACAAAGGTTCCCTCGATCCCAAAGGACCAAGCCCCAGACCCAGGTCAATATACAAATCAGATCTTACCCACAAATCACGCTGTTGCCAATCCTTTAGAATCTAAAATCTAAAGGTTTATCCACAAAAAGAAAGAAATAGAGATGAGAGCTAGAATTGGTTAAAGGAATCAATGACATACAGTAACAGCAAAGTTCTTGGTTCAGGCTTGTAGCAGTGATGGAATAAACGGCAGGTTTAAATCAAGTCTCTGGAGAACATCCCCAGCTGAGATGGGTCCTTCAGTCCTTGCTTCAAAGCTTCAGTTTGTAGCAAGGTTCCTTCAGAGGTCAGAAGCAGGATTGAAGACAAGATGGAGGGGTTTCCAGGGCCTTTTATATCCTCTGCCCTGTGGAAGGACCCCTTTGTTCTGACTGTGGAAGATCACAGCAGCAAGATGGAGTCTGGAGTCACATGGGCGAGTCACATGTCCGAGCATGACTCAGTTTGCAGGCCGGGACGCCATTGTTTACATGTGAGTTTGAACCTTCCCAGGAAGGCTCAGGTGTGGATTGGTGTCTCCCAAAGTCCGTTGTCAGTTAAGTGTTTCCTGATTGGGCACTTGCTGAGAATTGCCCTTGCTCAAGGAGCTGACCAAATGCTTCCCTGAGGCTACTTAGAATCAAACACATTGAGATACAAGTGCAGAGCCAATATCCAAACGTCAACTACAAAATGGTACACACATACAGACAGCATCATCCTACCCAGCGAATCACAACCTCTCCATAGACACCGTCCTAGACCTCCTTTGTACAAGATTTGGTGCAACTATAGGACCTTGATTGCAACAATGATCTACACGGTCAGAGTTTATATCAGTAACTTGGTTTTGTGGTCTCTTGCCAACTTTGCAGTTTTGATGAGCTGGTGGTTCCTTATGTGGACAGACTGACATTGTGAGACACAATGCACAAGGAGAAGCCAGGGAAAGGAGTGTCTCCTACCCCTGCCCAACCAGAACCTGTCTGTCACCTGCTGGCGACCTGTCTGAATTCGCACACCTTAAGAACGCGGCTTTCAGGGTAGATACATCACTTTGTGACTAGCTGTACCTACCTGTCACACTGACTGTGGTGACCAGAGCTTTACGGGCTCTTGGGAGAGCCCTCACGCCAGCCTTCGGCACACTATTCTAGAGCCATCAGACCCAGAGGACACCTGCAAACCCCTGTGCACCCCTCATGCCCCCTGCCAGTTGGCTCCAAGCAGTCCCTGGGTCACAGAGGTGTGCCCCATAAACACGCCCAAAGCTACCTCATCGTCCACCTTCCTCAAAGCGCTCCTTTGCCAAGAGCCCGACAGAAACGACCTCGCTAGGCCGCAGTGTGCTGAGCCCACAGCCTGCCAAGCTGCCCCGCCAGGGCTCCTCGTTCCTGGCACTCCCTAGCTGTCCACCCCATCTCTTGTCTCTTCCTCAGATCGTCAGCTTGCTGGAGCAGGACCTGCCCCTTTGCTCACGGGGGTTCTGCTGCATGATGAGGGCTCATAGGCAGTGATATAAATAGAGAGCCTCATCCCTATTAAACCATAGACCACCTCAGGCCTGGATCTTCATACAGATTCTAGCAGGCCCCACGCCCAGTGCAGGCCAGCACCACCTCCCCGGGCAAGGGCTTGCCCACTGCAGGGGGGACAGGGACCGGGAGCACTGGCAGCTGTCTACAGATCATTTGCCAATATCTGCCCCAGGGAGGGTTTGAACTCACAGCACGTTGGGACAGCTCAAGTTCCATAACCATAACCTGGGCTTGGTGCACAAGTACGTGCCAGTCTCCAAGCCAGGCTGGTCTAGGAGCCAGGCTCTGCCTTTATTGCGCCCCCAGAGGGGCGGCTGGGAGAAATGCCGAGCGACTGAGACCGGCTGGGGCCTGATCTGAGCCACAGCTGGAGCTCCGGCGGGTGCCCAAAGCAGAACCAATTGATTTGGGAACACGGTGCTTCTAGGGGAATGTAGCTCAGACACCCCTAGCTCAGAGGACCCCAAAGCCGGACCCCTCACCCGACCCTGCCCCAGGGAGGTCCCGCCCTTTTCAAGGCGAGCGGAATCAACGTGAGGAGTTTAGAGCCGGAAACAGAAAGAGTCTCTCAGCTTCCCTGGAGCCGAGCGGCCGCTCTACGGAACTAATGGCCCGCTACAAGCATTAGCCAACGGCTCCTCGCCTCCAGGGCTGGGACGCGGCCTGGCCACGGGCGATGGCCGACCACAGGCAGGGGCAGAGGCGGGCTGAGAAGCCAGGCGGGTCATGTCCAAATACTGGCACGTGGCTGGAGGCAGGTTCAGAGCCAGCGGCTGGCAGAGCCATTCAGGGGTGGCCCCTCCGGGCCGAGCCGGTGCCCTGCAAGGGGAGGAATCGCGAACGCGGCTTTTGTCTAACAGGACCAAG